AGCAGGCGCAGGAGGCGCCGCCATCACTCGAACTTGTTGTGGATGGGAGTGGAGCCCATCCCGCGGGAGTTGTGGGCAAAGCACACACTCGTACGACACCTCATGACAATGGAGAGTCGTTCTGACCGAGTTTATTACCCTTTGAGGTTACTGTCCCATAGCTAGGGTTCACCCGAAAGGTTCAGCATTTTTGGGTTCCGCAACTTTTGTTGTTGTAGGAAAGGGTTTCGCGGAAATCATATGCTTATATCTACTTGGGAACTAGACAGCCAAGTACTAGAACGCGCAATGAAGTCAGGGATCAACTAATGAGTATGCGATAGACAAGGCACTTTCTGCCGCGGGGAAGAATTTCAGGAAACTGCAACTCCCCCCTCTCTTCCGATGATAAGCAAATACGGCCCCCTTCTCCCCTAGCTGCTCCCACCCCCATCCTCGTGGAAGTCTCCCATCAATGTAGATAGCGCACGTGAAACAGGAAAAATCAAATGTAAAATACGACCGTTTGTTGGAGATTCTTCAAGGTGCGACATGCCCTGATCTTCAACAAGATTCCACGGCGCAATTCGGTGACGGGAAGGGGGCGCTCTGCACTCTGAGCCATCTAGAGAGCTCCTTCACAAGAGTTCGCAGGTTTCACCAGAACGGAACTTGTGAACCGGAACTGAGTAAAGCAGTGAAGGGAGAAAATGCCCCCCCCCCGTCGCCGAACAGCACCAGACTCTACTATAGGGGATATGAATCCCATGGGTTTTTTGTGCTATTGAGGTAGCGTTCCGAAGGAGTAATTCTGTCTTCACTGACTTGAAAACCCAAAGAGTTTATAAGTCACTCTGATGTCATTGACAAGAATCAGTGATAAATGGAACTTACATGCGAAACACTTCTTCTCGTAATAGGTGAATCCTTCAGTTTTGATGAGCGTTCCGCGTCCAAGTGGTTTGGATCGCTCATCAGAGAGAATGCATGTGCGCGATATGTTATTGTACATGAATGATTTGCAGTTGAAGTCATTAACCTGAAAAAATTGGCCCATCAGTGCTATAACCACTTGTCTTCTAGAGGTTTTTGGTGAGAACTGCCTTGAGACCCCCCAGCACATCCATTTTAGACTTCGCGTCTCCTTAAGTCGTACTGTGTGCGAGCCAGTACGTGCACCACTGTAGGGAGGGCACCAGGGTAAGGGGGATGGGAGAGCCGTATCAGGCTCTGAGAAAAAATTTTGAGTCCACGAGAAACTTTGTCAACATTGTTGACTTTGGGCAACTTTCCCATTTCGCTTGCGCTATATAGCCCCGACCCTCCCTTGCTCGGGACGCACGCTGGTTTGGCAATTTTGGTGGGAAGTTGAGAAAATTTAGGAAGATGGAAGGAGGTAAGATGAATGATGGGAAAGGATGAGATCATTGGGAGAGACGTACTAGATGAGATCATGGGAAGTCGTACTAACACAACCATTTCACCCATCTTGATGCTGTCTAGAGGGCGAACAGGACTGATTGGGTGATACTTCCAGCAGAAAGCGTCACCGCGTCGCAGCCACGCCCACCGCGATACACTGGCAATGAGAAGTTTTGATTGAGGTTCCCAAAAACAGCTGCTTCAAGTGAATTCTATTCAATCTTCGCTCCATGAATTCGTTCCAAGACAGGCTCCAAGGCACATTCCGCGGTCGCCGAAAAGACAAAGAAATAGGTGGAGCTCGTTCATCTTCTTTAGGTGTGAACCCTCCATTGAGAATCATGCTATGAGGAACGGGCTGCGGCTGCGAGCCTCCGCCTATACTATTATTGCGGAATGCGTCTACGGCATGTCCTGCCAAAGGAAAAATTGCATTTGCAAAGTACGACCCTACATCCAAATTTCCTCCTCTGGCACGACCCGCCCCCGCGATCCTAACAACCACTTTCCTCGATTCTCCGCAGAGTTCTACCACTTCCACCGGAAAATTTTTTACTTTTCTCTAAAAAAACCAAGAAAAGCGAGCAATCAAAATATATTGACCCTGTCCCTCCAGCGACCAAATACGACCCCCCTCCCCTCGCCGGGGACTCCAGCGTACGACGAGCCCTGAATGCGTCCTCAATTTGATCCTCTGCACTTCCGAAATTTTTCAGGAGCACAAGGAACTGAGAGAACATTGGTTGCACTTGGTATTCGTGGTGCTGAGATTCAAATGTGCGCCCACAACACTGCAGCCCTCTGCACCCCCAACATCACAGCTCCCTTGATTCGCGCGATCTCAGCGTCCCCTTGATGATCCGTTGGTAACCAAAAACCCTGCACTATAGTGATGGCGTACAATGAGTGCGTGGTGGTGCAGAGTGTAATGTCAAAGTCATCAAGGTCGTTGAAATTTGGGTCAAATCGCGTTCTTTACAGCGTTAATCCTATCACGGGGTTCACGTGCAGGTGTATATGTTCGAAATGGGGTGTTCTTCACGCCACTTTAAGACATATTGGGTCAATTCGCTGGGTAAACGGGTGGCTGACGAGCTGTCTATCATACTCTGGGCGGGCGTCCCATTGTGGTGGGTCTTTAGCTGTGGACTGGTAAGTCGCAGATCGGCCCACTAAGAATAAGCTCGACATTCGTGTGAGATTGGCTTGGTAGTCCGTAAATTTTCCGAGTGAATAACATTTGCGTGGTCCCTAAGAGGGGGGGGATAGTATGGGGGATCCGCACCAGTGTGGAAGAGTGCTGGAGACTGAGGTAGAGAAGGGGATTTCCACGGTTTCTGATGGAGTGACCCGTCCCTCGCCATCAGCTGACATCTTCCGTAACATGGGAGGATAAGGAGGCAGGTGAAAAGGGACCTGTGGGTTGACGGGTCCTATTTGAGACAGTGGTAGAAAACGAGTCGTGCTGAGCGAGCAATTCCTCTTATCAGCCCGAGCCTGTCACGAAAATGCGAAGTGAAAACTGCACATGCTCAAGACTGCATTCCCTACGAAAATCGTGGGGAATAGAGCTGCGGGTTGCGGGTGCTCCCGCATGGGGACCTTGCTGCTAGCAGACAACTTAAACTTAACAGCTCAGAAAGTGTCCCATGACAAGGCGACCAT